TACCAATATGTAACTGTAGTTAATGGCTCCTTCCTGCTACTTTAGGGAGCCGTTAGAACTCATAACTAGAGAGGAAATGGTTTTACATAATTTTTGCTAGCATTAAAAAAAAGACACATGAAAATAATGTTGCCAAACAACCTCTCTAAAGTTCAAGAGCTGCTATTACTAATTGACTGTCTCAGGAAAAGCCTTAAAAAATTATCTACTCAGGCTCACTGATAGCATAGGGCATTATATGTATTTTTCTCAAATAATGAAAAGGAAAGGGAAAAACAGTACCAAGGATAGGACTGTAATAGTTTTTTTAACCCCTACTGTAAGAGTTGTTTTTAATCTTAAAAGATAGGTATTGTGTCCCACTATATAAATGAAGAAGCTCTCTCAGAGCATTATACAGCTGAAAAATGAATAAAAGAAAAATCACAGATCTAAAATACTAGCCTAGATACATCTCATCCAAGACACATGCTTTTTATTCTAGGCATGCATCATGGTACCACTGTACTACTCCTTTAGCAGGTGGGGCAGGAGGAGGCGGGGGGGGGGGCCGTGGTTGCTTGGTTTTCGTGGAAAGTATGTTGCTTCGTATATAGAAAAAAGATATAACATATAGTCCTTTCTTTGAGTTTAGACTGCCCTTAATCTCATCATACTCACATAACTAACACACTTGTTCCAGTAGACTACAAGGATTTTCATTAGCTTGAATTATGTTTTCAAAGGAGAATTTGGTCCCATCTTCTCTAAAGATTCCTTGTGAAACTGTTGGTAGGAAACCTCTTATTTTAAAGGGGCAGGGTAAGCTGGAGTCATTTCCTCAGTGTTGCCCTCCATCCCTGCAAAAAAAAAAAAATCCGACAGATTATACTTCATATTTCTGCTACTAAATTTGCTTATACTACTTTGCACTAAAAGAAATCATGCCTCTTTGTTGCTCGGTATGTCCCTCCCCCACAGTATAACCCCTGCTTTCACTATATTTGATGTCAGTATAACTTGAGGAGGAGATGGGGAAAAACCAGTTGTTTAAAGATACAGGTGGACCTGTTGCAACAATGAGAAGTATAAGTTGTCATGTCCAAAACGAGCTTTACAACGTTGGTGGGGGGGGGGAGGGGAAGGTGGG